CACTGGGTGTTCCATAATTGTGGCCTTGTGCTAAATTAAGTTGTGTTTAGTAAATAGTAACGATATATTTCTGTTTTCTTTCTAACCAATGTGTTTGATACGATTTCTTTTTCTCTGGTTCCAATACTCGTCAAATTTTACTTTCGATTTCATGAATCCATTAAGAAATGTTTAAGAATTACTAGTTATCATTAACTTAACCCACAGACAATTGCATTTATATAGTGGACTACGGCCGCTACTTCGATGTGCGCCTAGGGTAACAATTAAGGACGCAGAAAGTGGCATAAGAGTGTTGAGTTCAAATTCCAGTCGACGCTATTGCGTTTGCTTTTGCAAAACTACCCTTGGAAATGTATGCATATATCGCTTCTCCCCACAGCTGTGGCTTAATAGCAGGGCAGACTGTGCTCTAGCTTCGGTTGTCAAGGAGTCGGACGTCTCTGGATTCAAAACCAGTTGGGCATGGGGCATAGCGCTAGCAAATACACCCCATGGAAACAAAAACAAAAAAACTACATGTTAAGAAAACCAAAGCAGTAACGCCTAAACATGTTGAGGCTGTGGACTTATATTCCGCAGAGATCTCTACAAGGTTAACGAAATGGCCCCTACCTCCTTTTGGATAGAGGTGACCAAATCAGAACTCGCGTGGTAAAGTTCTAGTTTAATCACGCTTCAAATATAAACTACAGGGTGGTCCGAAAGTCTTGTTACCCCTTATTTCAGATGGCTGACATGAGCTCCTACAGTTTAGGAGAGAGGGTTAGGATGACAAGACTTTCGGACCGCCCTATAGTATGCTTTAAAAATATTAAATTGCAAACAATTTAATTTAAGTGCTTCAGACACTGTTTAGTCTAATGATTCTCGACCGGAGAGCTCGAGCGCATTAATGCGCCCTGAAATGTAACCAGCTACGCCTCTAGTTCACAGAAGAGTTATGTATGAATTATTTTATTTTAAAAAAAAATTTGTTTTTTTAGAATGCTAGAGACACCAAATACATGGCTTCCATGCCTAAGTTAAGATTTTGTCATTTGAGATTTTAAACTAGATAATTCCTTAATCTTTAAGGAGCGAATAATCCTATCTCTTGTAGGGGAGTTATAACTAAGTAATAACTATAACCCCCTAACATTTACATATAGAAAAATATTTGTAAAAATGAGAAACAGCAAGTCTTGGAAACAACAAAACGAGTATTATTTATTATCTGGTTGTTATGTGAGGATTAAAAGTTGTGAGTTTGGCGTCAAATGTAGATCAAATATCGATCGGAATCTGGCATAATGATAAGATAAAGAATAAGTAAAGTGTATATAGTCTTTCTCGTATGACTTTATAGATGTGTATAATGAAAGTACAGATAATTTAGCTGGAAAATACAAGAAGTATCTGATGTTTCTTACCTCGAATTTTTGTTGAGTGCTAAGGGATAACTCTTACCATTATGGTCTGAAAAGGAGCCGAAATTTTCATTGACGCACGTGTTGACGGCCTGTCCATGTTGACTGCTTATGTGTGTAGAGGAGAAAAGTAGGGTCACTTCTCATTAGTTTAGAAAGCGTGAGTTAATGATAATTATAATTGTTATAATTATTTTATTAAAATTATTTTTGACACTATAATTAATTCTTATTTATTCTTTTATGGACACGACACCCTTTTGCTTACCTCATGGGATTTAAATCAATAATTATTAACTTCTCTAAAAAGTAGCAGATTCTTCATAAATCCCTTTAACTGAAGACTGTACCACTAAACTTCTTTTGGAATGCTAAACCAAACTTTCATATTTTCAAATTTCAAGATTAATTTTTCTACAAGTACTTCATGAAGTATAAATCAAAATTTGAGAAACACTGGCTTAGTCTGTCAAACTCGCTACAGTTGTAATAGTTAAGTTGGACTATACTGAAAAATCTTGGTGCCGAGTTCGAATTCTAGTGGAGTTATTTACATTCACTTATCCGCAAATACCCTTGGGAAAGGCATGAACCCACTTCTTCTCCCTCCAGCTACGAATTAATTAGTAGGACTTGTATTTTTAAAAATTATTGCAACAGGTACAAATTATTTCTAAATCTTCAAAGATACCCTGAACCGGCATGGAAGAAAAAGGCTTACCAGATCAGGTGGCCATGTCAAATGAACTCTAGAGAGAGCTGAGTTATGAGTTTACCTTTTGTAGGTGAAGAAAGAGTTGTATAATTTCATACCAGTAGTAACTGGTAGTTTTTACTGAACTACTAGTGAAAGCAAGTCAATACTCCAGGACCATACTCAGTATTCTAGCAAGAGCGCTCAAATGATTCTCGGCATGAGTGATAACGCCATTCTGGGGCCTCTATGAACTCTCAAGTAAACATTCAAGAAAATTATAAGGGACGCTATCATTTTAACAGTGTAGAAGATAATTTTACCCTTTGAACTTTGACTGAACTAAGTCGTAACATTTTTTACACGTATTTGATGGTTTCATTTCCTATTTAATTTTTTAACCTGTTTTTTTTTTTTTTTTTGCAAATGTACTATTCAGATGGAGTAAAAACCTGTACACCAAAGTCTGTCTTCTTCGTTGATCTGAGCCGGTGACTGTCGTTTAGCTGTTCTCGCACAACTTACTTCCGATAGCTGGTGCTGCTATAATGCAACAAAACGTAAACACGTTGCATTCATGCTGCTTCATTCACAAGTGAAATATTGACATAGCGGCGCAGGTCCGTTCTTATAGGAGTCTGCCTCTCGACTCACCTGAAAACCATTACTCACTAGCGCTCGTGAAAAAGAACGTGAACTAATTTTTAATGTGCAAATTATTGCTCGCGGTCTCCCTGACTAAAAGAACAGTTATTCCAGTCCCCGGCTCAAAACACTGGAGATGGACGAAAGGGGGTACAAATATCTGAAAAGAGATGCTAGAGAAGAAAAAAATATGAAGAACTACTGCTTTAGTTTTTTTTTTTTTTTTTTCATGAATCTTTGTGTTAGTTCCTAGTGTCCTGATAACGACTGGCACAACTGTCAGGTTTATTTTTGCAAAACTTCCTCAGCTCTCTAGTAAGATTGAGATATTTATCCAGTTTTTCAACTAGATTCTTTCTGTGGTCTACCGAAACAGCAAAATACGATTTTTGACGCTGTTTTTGATTTACTTTTTTTTGCAACTAATATATCCGCTGAATGTTTAAAAACCAAAGCAGTTAAAAAAAATATAAATAAATTGAAAAAAAAACAACAAAAAAACAAACAAAAGAAATAATTGACATGTAGGTTAACCAAGGGTAGCACTACTTAGATTGATTAGTCCGTTCGTAAAAAATAGGGAAAACATTGGGGTGTAATAATTTTTATGGATTAGAATTTATTAGACCTTTTTCAAACCACAACATTGGTTAATTTGCAATTTAGCACCCGCGCTCAATTCGCATTAAAAATTTCCAGAATACTTACATTTATGTGTAATTGCACATGCTTCATTCGAATCTGGCTTGATAAATTTGATAAAATCTACCATTTTGAAGTTATTGACAGTAAATGTCCGGATTCATTCGCATCGTTGTCGGCAGCCATTACTGGCGTTGTTTGCATACATTTGCTGCGGACAGGTAGGAGTAATATTCGCTTGTCTTGATTATTGCGCACGTAGCGCACAACTGAGCGTGTGTACGTAAATAGTTCTCTTGCGCAATAATTGAGACAAGTAAGATCAGTAAAAAAAAAAAGCCCGTTAACTACATTCTTCCGCGTTTAGATTTTATCAAATTTATCAAGCCAGATTCGAATGAAGCATTACACATAAATGTAAGTATTCTGGAAATTTTTAATGAGAACTGTGCGAGGGAGCTAAACTGCAAATTAACCACGACATTTATCAGAATCGAAAAATATTGATTTTTTAAAAATCTATTTAGATGTGGGGTCATAGAAAATAAACACAGTGTCAAATCAATCTGTGACTTTTGAAGTGTTATCTGCCCTTAGTTTCTTTCAAATGTTAAATTTTAAACTATGCTTGAGATTGGTGTTACGTGACGTGGGACTGATATTATTTTTAAATATTTTTTAATTTAATTTTTAAAAACTTTTTCCGAGAGATTTTTTCAGAGGCACAAACATTTGAGAAAATAGTTATTTATCTGAAGTGAAAAACAAACGGATATATAAATTTATTAACTTCTTTAAATTTGAAAATATTACGATGTGATATCACAAAATGTGACACAGAGATGATGGAGGTGAAGTGTGAAGATGAGGACATGACATTTGTAAATAAAAACCAAATACAGATAACTCTTTTAAAAATCCGAGATCGATTTGACGCTGCATTTAGATTATGAACAGGACCCCCATACCTAAATTAATTTTAAAAAATCAATATTTATCGAATCTGACATTGAAATGCCTCGGCTTGAATTTTTTAATGATTACTAACTCTCCGCAAAAATACAAAAATATTTTCCGTTTTTTTTTTCTTTTACGAGTGGATCAGTCGACTTAGCAGAACTTGATCTATCAATGATTTTTTACATGACATTTTTTTCGTTTTTTTTTTTTTTTTTTTTGTGGATCCGTCAACGTTGAAGTGATGAGGAGACGTAAGTACGGTTCACACACCTCCTCAGTCTTAGGAACAGGATTAGATGCTTATCCCTTTATTGTTTAAGATTGGATTTCCGGCTCCTTCAAAAGTTTTTTCGTTTTATTTCACTCCTAGTATTAGTAATTATTAGTAACATTATCGCCTTGCTTGTAGTGAATTAGTTAAGAAAAACATGTATCCGTATAAAAATCCGTAAAGGATCTTCTTCTATGCACCGTGTCCCTTCAGAACGTTGGCGATCATAGCTCTCCACAATTTCCTGTCCCTTTGTAAATTTTATTTTTTTGCTATCTGTACGGAGATATCTATACCGTTTAATTTCAGCAGAAACAGACGTTAATGAAATCCTAATCTTGATAATGAGTATGTTGAGCTTCGACGCTGAAAAATTTCAATGAGACGAAGTAATTTATTAATGATCATCTTTTACTTTCTTCCTTTCTTTCCTCCTTTCTTTCTTTCTTTCTTTCTTTCTTTCTTTCTACGCAAAAAACAAAACAAAAAAAACTACACCTGTCGCATTTCATTCATTTATTCGTTCGGTATTCTTTCTATATTCCATATTTATTCTGTTATTGATTAAAATCATTCTTCCTTTCCAACTTAGTTTATTCGTCTGCTAGTTTTTTCTTTCTTTCTTTCTTTCTTTCTTTCTTTCTTTCTTTCTTTCTTTCTTTTCCCTTTTGCGCTTTATTGTATTTTAATTTCACTCATTTATTCAAGACTGGTTGTTTTTTTCGGCTTTTGTATTTTCTTTCTTAGAGTGTTTTATTTCCTCACACACACACACACACACACACACACATTGTACATTGCATGTATCTTCTTATTGTCTCCCTTATCCCTTCCAATCTATATGCGCGCTCACTTTTTGTTTTTTATATCTAAATTTTATACAATAAAAACTGGTTTGAAGGAAAATCATCAATATTTTTCATTTATCCTCTCTTTTATTTTTTTATTTTGCTCTATATCAACCAAAAGTATTTTAATGGATTGCAGTTTTACGCCTTTCCAGTCACATCCTTACAAAGTTTTCACACATTGTTTCTTGGATTCTTTCTTTCTACGTTTTTTGCCAGACTAAATGCTTTCTGGCCTTGGATTTTGTCAGTGCCATTCGTTGGAATATTATTAGGCAGCTCTTTAATTCAGAAACCTTAATCTATTCAGACTTAGATTAACCGGGAGAGTTTGCTATGTGCTTTAGTACACTTCAATTAGCCGTCTTTAGACACCTGGTCAGCAAGCTAGTGTCACAATGATTGATTTGATTTTTTTACGGTTTATCAACCCTTTGTGGGTCATTTAAAGCTAACACATTTTGGATTGTAAGAATAATATTTTTTTACTAGTGAATATTGCATTACCAATGTTTTTTTATAATAATAATAATTTTCCAAATACAAGCCTTACTATTGTAAGGCTTATATTTGGAAAATTATTATTAAGTTGTGGGGATGGATTACTGTCTTCCCCAAATATATTTGCGCGTAAGTGAATGCAACAAACTCAACTCGAATTCGATTTACGTTCAAAGTATTGTCTCCATCTTTGTTGTTATCACAACGTTTCGGCCGTTGTGTCCCCCGGCTTTCATCAGGTGCACATGAATCCGGGTAACCTAAAGGAAATTTCTGCGCGACAATAGCCTAGTGGATTAAAGCGTTGGTTCGAGAATTTGGTGACATAGTAATTGTGAGTTCAATCCCTGGGCCAGGCAGTGTGTCTTAGTGGAAACAGGGTTGCTATTCATTACACCACCCTCACATCCACATAATCTCAGAAATCATTTCAAATGTGTTCGATGCTAACTGAGTGGCCTACTATTGTTACTTACTGTCATAGTACATTTCATTTAGTAAATAACGTCCATGGACATCTGCCGTAAGCTAATGTTTAACAAGTTACTCTCAGATACAATTGCAAATGACTTTGATGGACACAGGTGACCAAGTATTGTTTCTTAGTATCACGGTACACTTCACCTAGTAGGCAGTATCTATAGGCCCCTGCCATAAGCACTTTTACGTGGTGCAATGGTTTGCGAGATTGATTTATTATATAAATAGTGATTTCGATTCGTACTAGGTGCTCCATACTTTTGGCCATGTGCCACATCTATTATTATTAAGTAATGACTTCGACCCTTACTAGGTGTACCATATATTTCTTTAACGGAATGGAGATTTTAATCAAGCCCCAGGAGGACTTCCCCCAAGCAGTACCTCTACCTCTGGAGAGGGCTGGATTTATTGACCAGTTCTTGAGGCGTCCCCAAAAGGGAAAATACCGAAGCGACTTAGGAATTTTTGCGCGGTATTGCCGTTAAATCCACTTTAAATTTCCACCTTGTGTCACATACGGTTGCGACGTTGGCGCCCTGATATATATCTATCGGCGTCTGCCATGAACGCTTTGACGCTGTGTAATGGTTAGCAAGTTTGATACGGCATATCACTTATTACAAAGTTGTGAGTTCGATCCTTACTAGGTGCTCAATACTTTCGGTCATGTGCCACATTTAAGCTTCGCTTAAATAATCGCTCGGCAATTTGACGTACTCTAGTTGTTAGGTAGCTTGTTCCGCTAGATCACTTACTCTTAAGTAGTAAGTTCGATCCTCACTGTGACCCATAGTTTCAGCCACATCTAAGCTACGCTTAGTCAATCACTATCGGCGCCTGCCGTAGTTTTAGGGTTCTCAATATAGTTTCAGATACAATTAAAATTACGCTTGATCTTCACTGAATAAACTATTATTGTTACTTAGTGTCATAGTACATTTCGTCATCTCTAAGACATCTGCTGCAAGTTTAAGTTTGTCATAGTATATTTCACTTAGTAAATACCATCTCTAGACATCTGCTGTAGGTTAATGTGTGGAGTTGGTGACACAAAACTTTGCAATTGTTTTCGATGCTCAATGATCTACTACTGTTACTTAGTGTCATAGTATATTTCGCTTAGTAAATAACATCTCTAGATATCTGCTGTAGGTTAATGTTTGGAACTAGTCTCACAAAACTTTGCAGTTGTGTTCGTTGCTTAGTGATCTAATACTGTTACTTAGCTTTATACTATATTTCTCTGAGCACACGATGTCACTTGCCATCTGTCGAGCTCATCGCAGATACAACTGCAAATGTGTTCGATACTCGCTTCATAACCTAATATAGTTGTTCATCATCACATTACACTGCATTCACCAACAGCTTTCCATCTCATCCCTGGTGTAATATTTAGCACGCTAGCCTCCGAAATGATTGCATATTTGTTTTGTCCTACTATTATTTTATTGTCTAAGTTAAGCTTCGCTGAGGTCTTCTCCGGACGCCTATTGTACAATGATCTTTGTTAAACTCTCCTTGCAGATATTATTTCAATCGATCTTTGTTTTTCTACTATTGTGGTTGTCTGACAATTTATAGAATCAGTGGATGTTTGTCGTGAAGCATGAAGTGATTTCTCACTGATCCCATTGGTCGTTGATCAATAATTTCGAGTGTCTCTTTAAAATATACGTAGACTTTCTTTTCACGGCCGACTGCACAGCTCAATATCCACGCATATTTCGTCTTGTCTCAGATTAAAACCTTTAAAATTTGAAAATTAATGAACTTTTCATTCATACAAACTCACTGATAGCGACTTTCCGCGCATTAATTTTTCGATGAATATGTGTGTGTGTGTGTGTGTGTGTGTCTGTAAGTATGTATATATATATATATATATATATATGTAATGTATTATTATTTATATATTATATGCGCGGTACTTATTAGAAAGCGCTCAATATCAGAGATAATAAATATATATATATATATATATATATATATATATATATATATATATATATATATATATACTCTCCTGTCGTTTATCGACGTATGAGGGTCAAGTAACTCAGTTCCTAGGACACCAGCACATATGCTTTGATTATAGTGATGAAGGATTTGTGCAGAACCATCCACACTTTTTGAAAGGCCGAATACAGAGACCTACGTGTCACAAAGACCCCCAAACGACTATCCACATGTTTTGAATTCAGAGTTGTCCTTCTCCTAGACCAGTTGCCATCCAAGGCTATAGAACCCAGTCTGTCCTGCTATTTACCCGTAGCTGGCAGAAGGAAAAGATGATTCATACCTTTCCCAAGTATATATCCAGGTAAAGTGAGAACAAATGGAGTATAATTCCACTGTACGTAACATTTAATTTAAAAGTGGGATCAATACAGAATAGAGAGTTAAATAGTAGTAGTTTGACATCGTTCGAGGAGATACATTTGTGGTGTTGAAACATGATTGTAATTGTGTAGCGATTTTTAATATGTGTTTGTTTTAATATCCTAAAATAAATTATATCTATCTATCTATCTATCTATCTATCTATATATATATATATATATATATATATATATATATATATATATATATATATATATATATAAATATATATATATATATATATATATATATATATATATATAAAAAAAATTTGCCCATTTAAATTAAACGTTGTATGTTTTCTTTTTTATTTATACAATTACATTCGGACTAATCCCAACGTTCTGGCTATTGTACCGTATGGCCTTTTTTCATCTGTCTATCGATCCAAATAAATTTCAGGGAATTTCAAACCGAATCCTTTAGCTAGTGACTTTGTTATACAAGATACGAGATGCTTAGCATTTTTGCCCTTCGTCCTGCGAGATACAGAAGAAGTTTTTGTTTGTGGGTGATAAAAGTATTATTTGATACTGTATTTTTATGAAAAATAAACTGTTGATGAATATTATTTAGTAGGTTAGTAGGATTGTGTCGATAGTGGACGCACTGGAGTCTCTACAGATAAATAAGTAAGAATGAATATACAAAAAATTACGTACAATAAAAGAAGAACATATTTTATTACCCAAGCATTTCGTTGATCGGTGATATGCAATATGAAAACTATGCGATCGGCTAAAGGTGTTAAAATCCATCTGGAGTGCTGAAACCCTTTAAAAAATTCAGATAACCAAAAATGGCGTATTGATTCCATATCTGAGCTGGAGCTGCTCAAAATCCACTTCCCAGTCTTTATAGAGTTCAAAAGCGCTTAGGAAATCTTGGGGGAGGACTTATTCAAAACTCTACAGCCTTCTTCGCCACAGACGCAAGTCTATCGCTACTTCCATGGCAAATGTTCAGATGAGCTCCACTCTTTAGATCCACCAGTTCAGACCTTTTCAGCTAGGACATATCGCGCTACATACACGGACTCGAATCACCATCATTTCCCTCGTATCCCAAATGTAAACGCAAGTTACATTCAGACAACTTTTTCTTACTTTTTTTTCTGTCTTAATTACTGGGATGAAGATTTATCATCATTTACACTAGTTACATTCGGACTATTATCCTCATTTCTGTTGTGATCATAACGTTTCGGACGTTGTTCCCTCCGGTCTTTATCGGGTGTTGGTTGGTGATCCCCATCTTTTTCGATTCGGGTAACGTAAAAGGAATTCCGAACTAAACCTTTTATTTAATCTATAGTGGGGGGTAGACTATTCTCGTTCCACTGTCCATGTCTAGGGATATCTCCTCTAATTGTTACTTTTAGTGCTGCTCAGTTATTGCTCGCCCTGTTTTCACTGAGTCCAAGTACACAGTCAGGGATTGAACTCACAATTACTATGTCACCAAATTCACGAGCCAACGCTTTAAACCACTAGGCTATTGTTCCGTAGGAATTCCCTTTAGGTTACCTAGATTGATGTACACCTGATGAAAGCCGGAGGACACAACGGCTGAAACATTGTGATAACAACAAAGATGGGAACAATACTCCGAATGCAAATAGTGTAAATGACTGATATTTTCTGGAACAGGCTCCCACATGTATACTTCCCTGCGTACTATACTTAACTTCTTCAAGTGACGAGTCAGTCGTTATCTATCCTCCTTTTCCTCACACTCTTCACTTCCTATGACATCTTCTTACCTTCATATCACACACCTCATTATTCATAACGTTTTAATAGTAACTCTCTAGCGTGAGGGGCTCTTAAGCCTTGTATTTAGTGAACTTTAATATTAGAAAGAAGCTTCTTACTATATGTCAGTTTCCATGCTTTAGTCGCCTGAATAATTCAGCGGAATCTTGTGCAATTGTAACGGAAGCTTTATCCAAAGTTATTAGGCGGAGAGAATAAGGGTGGATATTTTAAGACTGATCTAGGGTGATGAATGCTATGGCGTTGGCACCCGTTACAACTGACACCCCATCCTCTACATTGCTTCTGTGTAGCATAAACATTTTACAACAAATTAGTGCAATCCTCTGTTGAATTAGCGTTGATAAAACTCATGATAACAGCAAGATGAATTCGATGCAGGCATTGCCAACAGAACAAAACGCTCTGTGATAGGCAAGGTCGGTAATCATTGGGATTATTTATCTATCGATCTCATTCTACTCATTTTTTTTACAGCATGGTCCACCCTTTACAAGGCCCGAGGGCCACTCGAGGTAGAGAGTTACGCTTGGAGGCCTATCTATCTATCTATCTATCTATCTATCTATCTATCTATCTATCTATCTATCTATCTAGTCCTTCCTTCCTGCCTTCCTATCTATCTATCTATCTATCTATCTATCTATCTATCTATCTATCTATCCTTCCTTCCTGCCTTCCTTTCTTCCTATCTATCTATCTATCTATCTATCTATCTATCTATCTATCTATCGTAGTGTCATTGTCTAGCTATCTTAGTTTATTAATATCTATCTATCTATCTATCTATCTATCTATCTATCTATCTATCTATCTATCTATCTATCTATGTTTAAATATGTCTATCTTAGTATCTTCATTATCTATTTAAATTTCTCGATCGCTACGAAACTGTTATTTTCAAACTCTCTCTCTCACACACACACACATACACACACACACACACACTGGTAGTTAGATGCCTTTTTATGCTAGGGATAAATTGCCCTGTTAGCGACAACAGGTAGTACAGCTGCGCCTACAAGCTGAAGAGCTAGCTTTTAACTTTTGTCTCCGGTTGTCGCATAGGCGAAGTAGTAGTAGTATTTGTGTTAAAAATTGGTATTCAAAAACGCTCAGTGTATAGAAAATAATTCTTCATAGTTTGCGACCGGTTTCATTTACAAATGTTCGTGGACGCTATGATCAAAGTGTTGAGTGATATGCATATAAACCCTTCTATGGCTTCTGCTATCACCTTTAACCTGGATCCCCACATGTCATGTGGGCCTGATCGTATCCCTGTAATAGTTTTTAAAAATGTTACTGGACTAGTTCCTATTCTCTCTAAACTGTATAATAAATGCCTTGTTGCTTCTTGCTTTCCTGTTGTTCCAGTCTTTAAGAACTCGAATGAACCGTCCGACTCTTTCGACTATTGGATTATTAGCCTCCTCTTTTTGGTAAACTACTAGAGGCCCTAATCAATGCTGAATTAGTTAAGCATCTTACATCACAGTGCCTTCTTTCAGACAAGCAATATGGCTTTCGTTTTAGCTGCTGATTTATTAATCAATATTTACATTAGTCGGACTATTGCCCCCATCTTTGTCGCCATATTTGTGACAACGTTTCGGCCGTTGTACGCTCCGGCCTTCTTCAGGTGGTTGAAATTTCGAACTGAACCCTTTATTTCGATCACTGGGGTAGACTGTTCTAGTTCCACGTGCCATGTTCGATGGATGTCAGATGGCACAGTGGATAAAGGCGTTGGTTAGATCCAGTGACAGGCGCAAAGAAGGTGAGTTCAATACCTGGTTAAGGCAGTGGAGAACTTTCAGAGGGAAAATTAGCAGGAGATAACTGATAACTGACATCCATCGAACATGGCACGTGGAACTAGAACAGTCTACCCCAGTGATCGAAATAAAGGGTTCAGTTCGAAATTCCAACCACCTGAAGAAGGCCGGAGCGTACAACGGCCGAAACGCTGTGACAAATATGGCGACAAAGATGAGGACAATAGTCCGACTAATGTAAATACTGTACAGAATACCTCATCTCAGAAATATAGACAGACTCTTATTAATCAATATTGCGGAAAGAGTTTATTATTAAGCCTTAGGTAAGCTTCGTGAAGCTTGGGATGTTGTTTTGCACATCTCGAAAGCATTCGACAAGGTTTGGCAAACCGATCTTTTTCACAAGTTGAAAAGTTATGGTGTCCCTGGTCTGATTCAGTATTTCTTATCAAATCGTGAAATGACAGTTATCCTGAACGGCCACTCTTCTAGTTCCTTTTGTACTAATACAGGTGTCCCCAGGGCTTTATTCTTGGCCCTACTCTGTTCTTAATTTTTATTAACGAAATTCTTGATGGTATCAACTTGGTATATATGCTGTTGACACAGCCATTTACTCTGATCTCGATTGTACGTCTGATCAGTTCGATATGGTGAAATTGGCGACTGATCTAAAAAATGACCTACAAACTCTTGTTAACTGGGGGCAAAGAATGGCTTGTTAATTTTCATGACTCCAAAACAAAACTGCTCTCTATTAATCATCTGAGAGACTCGTTCCTGCCTTCAATAAGCATGGCTGATGCTAACCACCAGGAGGCTGATTTTCGGCTGACATAATGTGGAAAGACTATACTGAATCTATTGCTAAGTCTGCTGCTAAGAAAATTGGTTCAGTCTATCGGTCTAGAAAATTTTTCTCTTCTAAATCTATCTTACATATCTATGTCTACCATTCGTCCGTGTTTAGAATATTGCTGCCACGTATGGCAAAGTGTTCCAGCTATATATTTAGAGATCCTTTATAAAAAAAAAAAAAAAAAATCAGCAATAATCTGACATCTCGGTTTCTGTCACTTTCTCACCGCCGTAAGGTTGCTTCCCTGTGTCTTTTCTATAAATTACTTTCGGATGAACTCTTCACTATGATAGCTAGACTTTATGAATTTAAGCGCTGTGCTAGACTGGCGACTTGGTCTCATCAATTCATTATTGAATTGGCTAGATGTAACCGTAAGTTCTATGCTAACAATTTTTTTTCTTGCACTTCTCACTTCTGGAACTCTTATCCGGCTCCATGCTTTCCAGCCAGTTTTTATCGTAAAAAATATAAATGCAATGTCGATCGTTATCTGCTGTCTTCCTGCTTACTCTGCTATTGTTCTCCCGCCTTAATAATGTTTCTGTTTTCTAATTCTTTCACACTCAATAACTCGTTGTGTCTTAGTAGCTTTACTGCCTTGCATGGAGTGAATTCGATTAAAAAAAAACAATTTTGAGAAAAGTGTTCAGCAAAGGATGAAAACCACGTCACTGAAATGCGAAGGCGCATTGGAATAGCGAAAGATGCTTATCAAAAGCTAAGTAAAGTATCAAGAAACAAGAAAAAAATCATTAGAAACAAAGAAAAGACTACCCTCCTACATGGCAGTGAATGCTGGACAGTCTTCTCACAGATAAAGAAGGGAATTGAGGCAATATAAACGTGGTTCTACAGAAGGATGCTGAGAATACTATGGAGAGAACATGTGAGCAATGACGAGGTTTTAGAGAAAACTGAAACAAAAATGACACTTATACTTACAATCAGAAAGAGACATTTGAAATTTTTAGGCCGCATAACAAGGAAAAAGGACTTGGAAAATTTAACACTCACAAGTCATGTTGAAGGTATGAGCGACAGAGGAAAGCATCGAATAACCTATTTAACGAGCTTGTGTGAATATTTGGCAGGACAGGGATTAGGAGGGATAGCAAAAAGACAAAGATTGCTAATAGCTACAAGGGAAGGAAGTTATGGAGAGGCATGATCGTCCACTGAAGGGACATGGCACATAGAAGAAGAATCCGACGTTTAATCTGCCTATTTCTCATGACACCATTCCCAAGTATTTTCCCGTTTTATACTAATTTTATGTATTTTGAATTTCATTTACCTTCTAGCCTATATACAAAACCAAAACATTAACCTGAAAACATGACTCATGTTCTTAAATAGCCTCGTCAGATCGAAACTTTCATATGCATGGCACCAAACCCGTTCAGAAATATGTAAACTGTCATCTGTATAAAACTACTTTCTCAGATCAATGATGAAAAAAAGACTTTGAACAAGTGAAGTCTGTGAATCTTAGTGAAGGCCATTATTCTTTGAACTTTGTGGACTGGCGCTACAGAATCACAAAGAACTGTATCAGGTAACAGAAACCATATCACTTGAGGCCTTTCAACAGCGGCAACAACTAAACTGGCTAGCACATGTTACTCGAAGAGAAAATAATAACATAATCAAGATGTTGACGTTCCACACTATTTCAAACAAAATGTTAGGAAGGAAACCTCCATCAGCACTGGAAAGAGCTATAACAACTACTGAACTTGCGAAAATCTATTTTCCTCAAAAATTATTTAAAAACTGTTTCAGAAATTCCAACCGACAGTAGTACTGGCTGCTCGTTCAATGAATGCCGAATGTTTCTTTATAAGGAAACGGCTAATTACCAGACTCAGATGAATATACTGTGTAAAATCTGACACTAAACGATAGACGTTGGAAGCATCGGATTTAAACATGGTATGATTCTGTAGTTGTTTGAATCCTAAGACGTGGCCTGTACGTGAATGTCTGACCCAGAAGTTCGTTGGTTTACTTTGGTGGATCCTTAATGGCACTTACTGTGAAAATCAGGGTTAATTGATACTATTCACTTGGTGAGTGAACACAGGCTACCTCAGTCAGAAAATGAACCTGGTTCGCCGATTCTGTTTAATGTTTTCTACGAATCGTTAAGCCAATTCTGCTATTTAAAAGGCCCGCTACAATAATCACATCACGACTCTTAAAAATCTTTAAAAAAAAAGAAAGAAAATATTGTCGGAATAGTCAAGATTATCAACTATGTTTACTATAACTCAGACTAGTAAAGTTTATGGTGGCAGGTTGACTTTTTACACGTGGCATTGTATAAGTGATTGATAACAGCCATCCTGCCGCCAACATTAAAAGGAAGTGTTCATATCATCTTTCAGCATGGGGGTGTATATACTTTTGGCATATTCTCCAGTACAGGCATTTACCCTAGCCTATCATGTCTAGATTGAAATTCACTTGAAGCTTTATAAGAAAATCCTGGGAAACTTATAATGATCTGAGTTACAAAAGACTGGGCTCATGTTTTGCGTCCACTCGCCAAGGAACTTGATAGTAGAATTGAATTTCAATGCTCGAACATCTGCCCATCAATTTTTACATTAGCTTAGCGACAGTAATGCCAAAAATTTGTGAAGACCTGGATTTTGAATGATTTTGAAGATTTTAAATGTAATTTTAAACATCATTCTACTTTTCACTTTCTCGTGGCTCTATCACAGATACTGAGCACTAAAAAAGAAACAGTAGGGTATATTTATTATATCTATCGAAAATAAAATATATATATATATATATATATATATATATATATATATATATATATATATATATGTGTGTGTGTGTGTGTGTGTGTGTGTGTGTGTAGGCATGTGTGTTTATATATATACATATATATATATATGTATATGTATGTATGCATGTGTGTATATATATATATATATATATATATATATATATATACACAAGGAAATACAAAAAATAGGTATAAAGTATTGAAAAAATGTATTGTATTGATTATACAAGCATATAAATACTGTATATCTGTTTTGCAACACCATGTATAGATGTATGTGCGTGTGTGTATGAGAGAGAGATAGTGAGAGAGAGCATATATATATATATGTGTGTGTGTGTGTGTGAGAAAGAGAATGTGTCTGTGTATGTGCGTGTTTGTGTGTGGGAGAGGGATGTCTATATGTGCGTGTGTGTGTGTGTGTG